AGTTGATTTAATGTGAATATCGCTTTTGAAATGTTTCCTACTTCATTTTAAGAGATGAATATGATTAGGCAACCTTGAAGAGGACAAAGGAGTTGATGTAGGAGAAGGAGGTTTAATTTATTCTGCTGTTTGCAGAATCAAGGTGGTGGCTGGGGAGGGCTGAGGGAGAAAATCTGGAAATGGTGTTCTCTTGTCCCTTTTATCTAAATGAAGTCTTTTTTTGTCTACCTGCTCTTTACATGTTATTAGCTCTAATTAGAATTAGAGTTATTTAAATTTCCTTATAGTGAGAACCTATAACGGAATTAGATACAAATTTTCCTGAAAACAGAATTAAAATTGTTTTCAAAGAAATAATTTCAGATAAACCAGAGATGCCACAAACAATATATATAAATATTAATGTATAAAAATACAATATGTACAAATGTTAACTTTAGTATTCTTCAAACTGGTAGTGCTTGGAATTCATTAATAAATGCAGACTTCATTCTAGAACTTTTAAATTTAATAAATTGTTATATAACATTTTGGTTTCTAAGCTATTTTTTCCTAATTTGTTGATATTATAGTACAATCTTCAATATAATTTTCATTTCATATTTTAAAGATACACCTATTTATAGGAGAATTTAGTTTTATAAAGATGTCACAGTATAATATTTGATTTTTAAAATACTTTGATTAGAAGAAGATACATGGAAATAGTTTAATTATAAGAGAGACTTCCCCACAAACATAAGTTCTGTTGGTTTTTATTTTGTGGTATGTGTGCATGTATGTGTTTCTTCGTGGAAAAGAAAAATTTTTAAGGTTATACTTTTTTTAAACCCAGATTAGGGAAGTTAACATAATTCATGTGTTGAATGTTGAGTCTGTGCATAATCTAAAAAAGGGAGACTCTTGCTTGTTGATCCTCGACTTTACAAGCTCTTAATACGTTATTTTAAGCTCTAGGTGTTTCCTTGGCAGAAGAGGTATGCTGGACTTTTGTATATTGACTAGGTTTTGTCACATTAAAAATGATTAATGGTTTATGTAAGTTACTGTGGTAATGGGGTTCATTCTAACACTGACTCATTGAGTTAATTTGTTTAGAATGCATCTCTAATTTTTTAACGTCACAGTATGGTTTAAATTGTCTAGACTTAGGATTTCATCAAGATTCTTACAAAAATCTATTTCCATCCTTAATTTTTAACTTCTTGTGCAATAGCCATGCATCTTTCATGAATTTTAAGAAACTTTGTGAAGATCCCTTGCATGCTTGGATTTTAAAATTTTTGGCACAAAATAAGCTATCTTTTCATTTCATTTTGTATGAGTGCTTTGAAGTCCTTTTTTTATATTAAAGCCTTTCCTTAATTATCTGTTATTATAGTTAGCCTAACTTCTTCATGATCTCCAGTTAGTTGTATACTTTTCATTTTTCATAACCTACTGGATGCTGTTTCTTCAGTTTTGCATATATAGAAAAATTCGGTTCAGTTGTCTATCTTAATATGTTTTTTTAAGTAATTTGGTAGAGATTTTTGGTGTACTTTTTTTTTCTGTGTGTTTTAGCGTTGATTATATATTGATTTGAATGATTTTTTTTCTCATTAGTTTCATTTTTCTCCAATAGAATTGTCGAAAGGCAAAGATGATTTCAAAGGCAAGGGTGATTTTTCATACTTTCTCAGTATCTTCTCATAATCTGCTCATCATCATAAGGTTAGTTCTTTAGCAGTCAATGCGTATCTGCTGCTTTACATGATCTGAACTGATCTAAAACATATTGAAGTGTAAGATGCCTGGAGCTTTGTTTCTATTCGTGTAGCTGTGTATAGCCAGTGCCAACCATCACCTAACCCATAAGGCATCTTCAGCAGCAATGTAATAATATTTCAGAGATGATTAACAAAGCTCTTTTTTAAAAAAAAAAAAAAATTATTTATTTGAAAGTCAGTTACAAAGAGAGAGAGAGAGAGAGTTCTTCCACCTACTGATTCACTCCCCAGATGACCCCAAAGGCCAGCACTAGGCCAGGCCAAAACTAGGAGCCAAGGATCTTTGTACAGGTCTCCCTTGTGAGGGGCAGGAGTCCAAATACTTAGATCATCTTCTGCTGCTTTTCTCAGGCCATTAGCAGGGAGCTTGATTAGAAGTGCAGAAGCTGGAACTGGAACTGGGACTCATATGGGATGCTGGCATTGCAGGCCATGACTCCACCTGCTATATCACACCACTGGCCCCTAATGTAACTCTTAATGGACAACAAAGAACTCCTCAAGAAATGTTGAAATATTTTTGTTTCTATGAACTCTATCTTTGGATCTGGTTTTTGAGTACCATTTTCTGATCAAGAAGTCATTTACAGTATAAGTCTAGATTCTAGAAGTTTCTTGGGGTTTAGGAGTGACATGTAAAAATTCTGTTTTTAAGTACTGAGAGACTAAGGCTTTACTGTAGTCCTTATCTTCTTCCATGGACGACAGCTACAAAACCTGAATCTATTACAAATATGACTACTTGAAGGTACTAGAGCATGAAGAGATGCAGAAAGACTGGGAGTGGGAGTGCACACTGGCATAGAGGTGGGGAGGTAGGGAGCTATAGAAGAGCTCACCTATGCAGCTTTTAACCTGGGATCAAGTGCAGTATCTGTGTCCAGACGCATGGAAAAATCTGCAGTCTTTCTGGTAAGACAGCAGAAGCATGAAGCCCCTTGACTTTGGAAGCCATCGTCCCTAGGGGTTGGCCCTGGTCCTTGTGCTCCTGTGAGTGTTCTTGAACTCCAGCTGGCAGGAGGACAAAAAGGAGGCAACAGCTAAAAGGGAAAAGCAGCAAACTAACCTGTCTGTCCTTTGTTTACAAACCCTTTCAGGTTTCCCCAGGTCCCACCCAGTGACTTCCATTTAAATTTCATTAACAAGGAGAGAAACATGGTCAAATCCTAGCTTGAGTGAATGTGGGTGATACAGGTTTCAAAATCTAGGCCACCCTCTTCAATTTCAGGGTTGCATGAACAAGAAGGAAGGGAAAAGAGATACTGATTGACTAGGCATCTAGCAAGATCTGCTGGTACATACATAGACCTTGTATATATTGATCCTCTTTTAAAACCTACCATCACATTTGTTACGATCTTCAAGTAGGGAAAAAAAGCCTCCCTTATGTAGTAGCACAAGCTTGTACTTTATATATATAGGACCTAATAGGTTTGGGTCTCCTGAGAGTCATCCATGATTATCATTCACAAAGGAAATTGGTCGGGCAATTTAGTGTAGTGTATTTTGTCTCGTTTCCATATTTGTCAATGCTTATGAGCTTCAGATGTGACTTCACCTCTTTAGATCTGTACTTCTTACTCATGCTGTAACTTAAAAACATTGCAAACCAATTGAATCTATTAAGAAATGAAGTATAATCTGGAAACTGTTATTTTTAATAAGATGCTAGACTTTATGAAATGGTATTTTCAATTATTGATAATATACTTCTCAATATGTTTGACTTAACTTCAACAAAATCCCAAAATGTTATTTCAGTAGAGATATAGCATATATACAGAATGTATAGGCACAATGTATGTTAGCCTGTGGTCTCCAAGAATATAGTCATTATATCTTTTGGCCTGTGAACTCCAAGAATGTAGGTGCCAGGTCTGTTGGCCTATGATGTCTGAGAATACAACACCATATCTGTCAGCTCCTAATCTCAAAAAAATAGTCACCATGTCTCTTATGTCAGCAAATGGCATGAACTCTGGCACATACATGTTAACACATGATTTAAAAATTAATTAATTATACAACTAGTGTTTTTGTCCTGTTTAATTTTAAAAAGTTCTTTTTTTCCTTTTAATAAATTAACTTCCCCTGTCAATTATTTTATGACTCTCTAGGCCACAGGGCTAGCTTTTATCTTGATCTAGGACACCATTCTTTCCTATAATTACCAGTTCTATGAGCTATATTCCTTGCTCTGTTTTTATTATTGTTGATATATGTCTGTTTAAATTTCTGTTATTTGAAACTTGAAGGTCATATAGAAGTAGGGAGAGTAACCAAATTTCTTCATTTTTAATAATCATCTGACTTTAGTGATTGTTAGATAAAATCTCACTTTTCTTCATCTGTGTCCTCAATCACCCACTCTCCTATCCATCATAAAGTGGATTATTTGGATTCTGAATTGAAAAGACTATAAAAATTATGAGACAGCAGAATGTATTTGAGTATTAATTTTAACATTAGGTAAATATTGCTGTTTATAATACTTGTACATTTGTTAGTGATCTGGTGCTATACCTTAACTGCTATAACCCTGTGTTTTATTTATTTATATTTTTATTTATTTTTGTTTCGTTTTTTTGTTTTTTTTTTTATTTTTATATTTTACTTCTTTTTTAAATTTATTTTTTATTTAGTAAATATAAATTTCCAAAGTACAGTTTATGGATTGCAATGGCTTCCCCCCCCATAACTTCCCTCCCACTCACACCCCTCCCATCTCTCGCTCCCTCTCCCATTCCATTCACATCAAGATTCATTTTCAATTATCTTTATATACAAAAGATCGATTTAGTATATATTAAGTAAAGATTTCATCAGTTTGCACCCACACAGAAACACAAAGTATAAAATACTGTTTCAGTACTAGTTATAGCATTATTTCACATTGGACAACACACTAAGGACAGATCCCACATGAGAAGTAAGTACACAGTGACTCCTGTTGTTGACTTAACAATTTGACACTCTTGTTTATGGCATCAGTAATCTCCCTAGGCTCTAGTCATGAGTTGCCAAGGCTATGGAAGCCTTTTGGGTTCGCCGACTTCGATCTTATTCCGACAGGGTCATAATCAAAGTGGAGGTTCTCTCCTCCCTTCAGAGAAAGGTACCTCCTTCTTTGATGGCCCCGTTCTTTCCACTGGGATCTCACTTGCAGAGATCTTCATTTAGTTCTTTTTTTTTTTTTCTTGCCAGAGATGCCTTGCTTTCTCTTGCCTGAAACACTCTCATGGGCTCTTCAGCCAGATCCGCATGCCTTAAGGGCTGATTCTGAGGCCAGAGTGCTATTTAGGACATCTGCCATTCTATGAGTCTGCTGTGCATCCTGCTTCCCATGATGGATCGTTCTCTCCCTTTTTGATTCTATCAGTTAGTATTAGCAGACACTAGTCTTGTTTGTGTGATCCCTTTGACTCTTAGACCTATCAGTGTGATCAATTGTGAACTGAAATTGATCACTTGGACTAGTGAGATGGAATTGGTACATGCCACCTTGATGGGATTGTATTGGGATCCCCTGGACGATTCTAACTCCACCATTAGGGGCAAGTCCGATTGAGCATGTCCCAAATTGTACATCTCCTCCCTCTCTTATTCCCACTGTTATATTTAACAGGGATCACTTTTCAGTTAAAATTTAAACACCTAAGAATAATTGTATGTTAATCACAGAGTTCAACCAATAGTACTAGAACAAAAATTTACTAAAATGGATAAAGTATTACATTGTACATCAACAGTCAGGACAAGAGCTGATCAAGTCACTGTTTCTCATAGTGTCCATTTAACTTCAACAGGTTTCCCCTTTGGTGCTCAGTTAGTTGTCCCAGATCAGGGAGAACATATATTTGTCCCTTTGGGACTGGCTTAATTCACTCAGCATTATGTGTTCCAGATTCCTCCATCTTGTTGCAACTGACTGGATTTAGTTGTTTTTGACTGCTGTATAGTATTGTATAGAGTACATGTCCCATAATTTCTTTATCCAGTCTACTGTTGATGGGCATTTGGGTTGGTTCCAGGTCTTAGCTATTGTGGATTGAGCTGCAATAAACATTAATGTGCAGACAGCTTGTTTGTTTGCCAATTTCATTTCCTTTGGCTAAATTCCAAGGAGTGGTATGGCTGGGTTGAATTGTAGGGTTATCTTCAGGTTTCTGAGGAATCTCCAGACTGACTTCCATAGTGGCTTGACCAGTTAGCATTCACACCAACAGTGGGTTAGTGTCCCTTTTTACCCACATCCTCGCCAGCATCGATTGTTGGTAGATTTCTGAATGTGAGCCATTCTAACCGGGGTGAGGTGAAACCTCATTGTGGTTTTCATTTGCATTTCCCTGATTGCTAGTGATCTTGAACATTTTTTCAGGTGTCTGTTGGCCATTTGGATTTCCTCTTTTGTAAAATGTCTGTTGAGGTCCTTGCCCCATCCCTTAAGTGGGTTGTTTGTTTTGATGTTGTGGAGTTTCTTGATTTCTTTGTAGATTCTGGTTATCAACCCTTTATCTGTTGTGTAGTTTGCAAATATATTTTCCCATTCTGTCAGTTGCCTCTTCACTCTCCTGACTGTTTCTTTTGCAGTACAGAAACTTCTCAATTTGATGCAATCCCAACAGTTAATTTTGGCTTTGACTGCCTGTCCCTCCAGGGTCTTTTCTAGGAAGTCTTTGCTGGTACCTATATCTTGCAGGGTTTCTCCAATGCTCTCTAATAGTTTGATGGTGTTGGGTCGTAGATTGAAGTCTTTAATCCATATTGAGTGAATTTTTGTGTAAGGTGAAAGGTAGGGGTCTTATTCATGCTTCTGCACGTGGAAATCCAATTTTCCCAGCACCGTTTATTGAATAGACTGTCCTTACTCCACGGACTGGTTTTGGATCCTTGATCAAATATAAGTTGGCTGTAGATGTTTGGATTGATTTCTGGTGTTTCAATTCTGTTCCATTGGTCTATCCATCTGTTTCTGTACCAATACCATGCTGTTTTGATAACAACTGCCCTGTAATATGTCCTGAAATCTGGTATTGTGATGCCTCCGGCTTTGTTTTTGTTGTACAAGATTGCTTTAGCTATTCGAGGTCTCCTGTGTCTCCATATGAATTTCAGCATCATTTTTTCCAGATCTGAGAAGAAGGTCTTCAGTATCTTGATTGGTATTGCATTGAATCTGTAAATTGCTTTTGGAAGAATGGACATTTTGATGATGTTGATTCTTCCAATCCATGAGCATGGAAGATTTTTCCATTTTTTGGTATCCTCTTCTATTTCTTTCTTTAAGGTTTTGTAATTTTCATCATAGAGATCCTTAACATCCTTGGTTAAGCTTATTCCAAGGTATTTGATTGTTTTTGTAGCTATTGTGAATGGAATTGATCTTAGAAGTTGTTCCTCAGCCATGGCATTGTCTGTGTATACAAAGGCTGATTTTTGTGCATTGATTTTATATCCTGCTACTTTGCCAAACTCTTCTATGAGTTCCAATAGTCTCTTAGTAGAGTTCTTTGGATCCCCTAAGTAAAGGATCATATCATCTGCAAAGAGGGATAGTTTGAGTTCTTCCTTCCCAATTTGTATCCCTTTAATTTCTTTTTCTTGCCTGATGGCTCTGGCTAAGACTTCCCAAACTATATTGAATAGCAGTGGTGAGAGTGGGCATCCATGTCTGGTACCAGATCTCAGTGGAAATGCTTCCAACTTTTCCATATTCAATAGGATGCTGGCCATGGGTTTTTCATAAATTGCTTTGATTGTATTGAGGAATGTTCGTTCTATACCTAATTAGCTTAGAGTTTTCATCATGAAAGGGTGTTGTATTTTATCAAATGCTTTCTCTGCATCTATTGAGATAATCATATGGTTTTTCTTCTGCAGTCTCTTAATGTGGTGTATCACGTTGATTGTTTTGCGCACATTGAACCATCCCTCCATGCCAGGGATAAATCCCACTTGGGCTGGGTGGATGATCTTTCTAATTGTTATTGCATTCTATTGGCCAGAATTTTATTGAGGATTTTTGCATCTATGTTCATCAGGGATATTGGTCTGTAATTCTCTTTCAGTGCTGCATCTTTTTCCGGCTTAGGAATTAAGGTGATGCTGGCTTCATAGAAAGAATTTGGGAGGATTCCCTCTTTTTCGATTGTTCTGAATAGTTTGAGAAAAATTGCAGTGAGTTCTTCTTTAAATGTCTGGTAGAATTCAGCAGTGAATCCATCTGGTCCTGGGCTTTTCTTTGTTGGGATCGCCTTTATTACTGTTTCAATTTCTTTCTCAGTTATGGGTCTGTTTAGGTTTTCGATGTCTTCCTGGTTCAATTTAGGTAGGTTGCATGTGTCCAGGAATCTATCCATTTCTGATAGGTTTCCCCATTTGCTGGCATACAAGTCCTTGTAATAATTTCTGATGGTTCTTTTTATTTCTGTGGTGTTTGTTGTTACGTTTCCGTTTTCATCTCTGATTTTATTGATTTGGGTCTTTTCTTTTTTTAGTCAGTTGGGCCAATGGGGTGTCAATTTTGTTAATTTTTCAAAATACCAGCTCCTCGTTTGTCTGATTTTTTGTAATTTTTTTTTGGATTCAATCTTGTTGATTTCTTCTCTGATTTTAATTATTTATCTTCTCCTACTAGATTTGGGTCTGGTTTGCTGCAGTTTTTCTGGATCCCTGAGATGAATTGAAAGCTCATCTATTTGTTGGCTTTCTAATTTCTTGATGTAGGCACCTATTGATATAAACTTTCCCCTTATCACTGCTTTTGCTGTATCCCATAAGTTTTGGTATGTTGTGCTGTTATCCTCATTTACTTCCAAAAATTTTTTATTTCTCTTTTAATTTCTTCTATGACCCATTGTTCATTCAGGAGCATGTTGTTCAATCTCCATGTGTTTGTGTATGCTCTAGGGATTCCTGAGTTGCTAATTTCCAACTTCATTCCTTTATGGTCTGAGAAGCTGCATGGTATGATTCTTATTCTTTTGAATATGCTGATACTTGCTTTATGGCCTATTATGTGGTCAATCCTAGAGAAGGTTCCATGTACTGCTGAGAAGAATGTAAATGCTTTGTTTGTAGGATGAAAAGTTCTGTAGATATCTGTTAGATCCATTTGGGCTATAGTGTCGTTTAAATCTACTGTCTCCTTGTTGATCTTCTGTCCTGTTGATCTGTCTATTTCTGATGGTGGAGTATTGAAGTCCCCCAGTACTATTGTATTGGGGTCTAAGTCTCCCTTTAAGTCCCTTAACATATCTTTTAAATAGACAGTGCCCTGTAATTAGGTGCATATACATTGATAATCATTATATCTTCCTGTTGAATTGATCCCTTAATCATTATATAGTGCCCCTCTTTGTCTCTCCTAACAGTTTTTGTGGTAAAGTTTATGTTGTCCGATATTAAGATGGCTACGCCTGCTGTTTTTTTATTTCTGTTGGCATGGTATATCTTTTTCCAGCCTTTCACTTTCATTCTGTATGCATCTTTGTTGGAAAGATGTGTTTCTTGTAAGCATCAAATAGATGGGTTTTGTTCCCTAACCTTATCAGCCAATCGGTGTCTTTTAACTGGACAGTTCAGGCCATTAACCTTCAATGTGACTATTGATAAGTGGTAACTTTGCCCTGCCATTTGCCAAAGATATTTTCTAATATATGCTTTGAATTCCCTGTGATCTTTTGCTGTGAGGTTTCCTTCCTTTACCTTCTTCATATTGATGACGTGTTTCTGTGTATAACACATCTTTAAGCATCTTTTGCAGGGCTGGACGAGTGGTGACAAATTCTTTCAATTTCTGTTTGCTATGAAAGGTCTTTATTTCACCATCATTCACAAATGAGAGCTTTGCAGGATATAATATTCTGGGCTGGCAGTTTTTCTCTCTTAGTACCTGGGCTATGTCTTGCCATTCCCTTCTAGCTTGTAGGGTTTCTGATGAGAAGTCAGATGTGAGTCTAATTGGAGATCCTCTGAGAGTAATCTGACGTTTCTCTCTTGCACATTTTAGGATCTTTTCTTTCTGTTTCACTGTGGTGAGTTTAATTACAACGTGTCGTGGTGAGGATCTCTCTTGTATACCCCTGTGTTTTAGAGATACATTGTGAAATATTTATGGATGAGCTAATATAGTCTGAGGGGTTGGCTTGAAATTTGTTTCTTAAAAGTGCTTCTTGTGACAGATCATTTGAATAAAGAATTCAATGAATCTAAATCTAATTTCTTCACAAATAAGTGAATGCTCTTCTAAATGTCCTTTTCATCTCCAGTTCTTGATTCTTAATTAGGGTTACAGAAAGACTACATCTCTAAGTCAAAAGTTTCAGGAGTTGAAAAAGGACTTGAACTTCCTTCCCTCTTTCCTCTCCTGAGTGTGGCGTTTCCTCCTGCTGCTAAAGCCCATCTTTCTTAGGGGTTGGCTTTTTGAACTCATTGGCCTCAAAACCAGTGATTTTCCAATGATTTAGCTCTTTAATCATATTTTCCTAATGTTTTGTCTTATGTCATTTAATAATCATTGTTACTAGGACATTTGTTGCGGTTTTTACTTTTATTTTTTCTTTACCTTTCCCCCCTTTTAGTGTATTTCCTGTAATAATTTGTTTATAAAAAGCAGATAAAAAAGAACATTTTTCTGAATACCTTGTGCCAGGCCCTTTCAGAATCTCATTTAATTTTTAGAGCAGCACTCTGTACTAACCCATTGTACAAAGTGAATCTTAGCTCCTGGAGGTCAAAACTGCCCTATGATTCAATATTAGTAGGAAGCTAGTGAAGATTTGAACCAGTTTCTCTGACTCCAAACTCTATGTACTTCTAATTCTACCACATTTTGCTATTAATACTTTTTATTTTCCTAAATAGTACTTGAAGCTTCTTTAAGTTACACACTTGTAAATTATAGTTTCCAATACTAAACCAATTATTTTTCACTATTTTTTTTAAAGATTTTATTTATTTGAGAGGTAGAGTTACAGTGAGAGGGAGAGACAGAGAGAAAGGTCTTCCTTCCGTTGGTTCACTCCCCAGATGGCTGCAACGGCTGGAGCTGTGCTGATCCGAAGCCAGGAGCAGGTGCCTCTTCCTGATCTCCCACGAGGGTGCAGGGCCCAAGCACTTGGGCCATCCTCTACTGCTTTCCCAGGCCACAGCAGAGAGCTGGATGGGAAGTGAAGCAGTCGGGACTAGAACTGGCACCCATATGGTACCACAGGCAGAGGATTAACCTACTTTGCCACAGCGCCGGACCCTTCACTTATATTTTATGAAGAACCAATGGAGAGGCTCTCTGAACTTGACTTTGACATTAATCAATTTAAATGTACGGACAGCATGCTGACATAATCAAGAAATATCAGTTGCCAAAGGTCAGAAATAATATTGAACAGTAAAATATAAAGAGTTTTTTTTTTAATTGATGGAACAATGAATGAGAAAAAATGCACTGTGTAAGTAAAGATACAGAATGTTTTCGTAGCTCTCATTTTACAGAGTTACGTCTTGGCATTTGTAAATGGGACTGTAAGTTTAGAAATATTTCAGTGACAATAATAAGATGTTAAATATAACTCTTCATTCCTGAAATTTTAGCTTTTCTTAGTGATAGTTACCATTACAAAGAGCAACCAGCCATGAGAGTGTATTTAACTTAGATTTTGAAGGAATGCTTGATATGACTTCAATTTCTATGACCCAGAAATATCGATGTGCTAATTTTTTGAGTTAAAAACTTTCTTTTTATGTTTTTGTCCTTTTTCAAATGGGCAAATGCTGGCTAAATGTCTTAGAGAATACAGTATTTTCAGGAAATGACAAGAACTATTGATTTACTTTATTCTTATTCCCTCAAGCAGAACAGCCATAAAATATGTTCAATTTCTTCTCATTTCTGTCTGCAGATTACACTGACTAGTGTTGCAGGTGACAAGTGTGGACATGATAGGAGAATATTGACATTTACTAGGATTTGACTTCAGAGCTTTAGAGATGAAATGTCAACTGGCAAATTCAACTAGAACTATATTCACATAATTATTACAGTGCTATATTTTGTTAGTTATAAACATGAATATAGATCTTACATAGATGATCCCAACAAGGATAATTCCTATTGAAGTCAAACTTCACATGTAGTAAAAAAATGAACAGGAAATCTGTTTGGAAAACTTGAACATGTAATTCAGATAAAAAAATTTTGAAAAAAATCTGTCATTTCATGAAATTACACTCAGATTGACTTGAATAATTCTCTATCAGATACAAATTTTCTTTATGAAAGGTTAATTTTTTACTTAATTTCATTGTTTTTACAGCTTTTAAGTGTGTTAATTCTTATGTTAGTCACAAGTCATTGAATAATTCCAGGATTATATTGTCATTTGAGGATGAATACAGTTTAATTTTGAGAGGATCTCTAAGCTTAGAAGTACCCATCTGCTTGTTTGCCTATGGGTGCACCTGTGCCAGTGGACACGTTTCATAAAGGCTGCCAAGAAAGCATATCCGGCATGCCTGCACATTTCTCTCATTTAGTCCTGCTTCTGCAGGCCTCTTGTTCTGCTGGCTTGCGGTGATTATCGCCCTTACCTCTGGCATGGAGAATGAGAGAGCCATCATGATTAAGCTACTGATTACAGCTACTGAAAGCAATGCCTACAAGCACCCGTATTTCCTTGTCTTCATGGACAATGCCAAATTCCTCAGATATTTATCCCTGGAGTTGCACAGAAGCACAGCCTACAACATATGTGTGTCATATGAAAAAGTCATGTGCAAGTTAAATTAACTGACTCTTTCCTGTTGACATCCTGTTTGAATGGTTCTTTCAGTCATGAAGTACCTCTGCACATGGCTCTTTAAAGAGGCTGCAGTTAAATTCTTAGACTGAAGTGTCTGGGGTTCAAGATGGTGAATTTGAATATTTTAGGGGGAATTTTTGTGTGTGTCATGTCCGAAGTTTCTTGGAATAAGCAAAAAAAAAAAAAAAAAAAACAAAAAACCAAACACCTGACATTTTAAAATTGGTGACAGGAAAATGAAGTTTAATGTATGAATAATTTGAGTAATTCTTTTACAAGTTGTGTTCTTTTATTGTGTGTAGGGAAGGGCCTGAGAGAGATAGGGATTATACCCAATGCTGTTCCTGCCTCACATCTGTGATGTGTGGACAGCTCTTGTAGCTTGCTCACTGCTCACGTTCAGCCCAAAACCATGCGAAGAGAAAAACATGAGAACTGACGACATGCTCTGGTTCTTACACCTTTGTAATGAATGTTTCAGTAGATCACAACCTTATCTTTTCTGAGAATGCAGTGTTAGGGGTAGATGTGAGGTGCCAGATGGGACAGGATGAGCTACACAGAAAGGCAAGATGACTACTTCAGGGGACCTTGTCAGACACATATAACCTTATAGGATTGAATCTATGAGGCACATTAGCCTCTCATCTGGAGATCTGTCAGCAGCAGCAAGCTAAAAATGGTCTAGTTTGCAGTTGGTCAGTCTCATTTGTTTTATCTTGCTTCTTGTAAGTGGCTTAGATTTCAGAGGTTGCATTTTTAATTGATGCAAATTAAATATGGGCTAATTTATTTTGCATATTTATTTCTGCTGAGACCTACAGGCTGATTATACCTAACTGGTTCTGTGGATATTAGGTGTCTGAACAGACATGACAAAGGACCCAGATAATAAGGCTGAATGAATGCTAGACACTTGTGGGAAAAAGTGAATCTAGTCATTGCTGGGGTCTCCAAGATTACTCCAGGTTTCATGCTCTGCTAAAAGGACTCACAAAAGTCAGTAAAGCTTACACTCCCACTTTTAGTTTATTACAGCAAAATGATGCAGACTAAAATCAGTAAAGGTAAAGAGTGTATAGGGCAGAGTCAGGGAGGAAGAAACAGGCATGAGCTTCCAGTTGTTTTCTCCCAGTAGATTTGTATGGACAGTGCTGCCTTCTCCCCAAAAGATTTTATGAAAACTATGGAACATTGTAAACCAGGAAAGCTGAGTGTTGATGTCCAGGGATTTTATATGGGTTGGTCTCATAGGAATGGATAACTTTAGTGTGGATAACTTTAGGTGCTGCAGAGATCACACTGACATTGTGTGGTCTAGGGTCCAGGTGCACACACAGGACTTTGTCATAAATGATGTTAATGTTAACTTTCTGGTGTGACCAAAGGTCCCATGTATGTGAGGGTGCTCTCACTGGGTACAGTATTCCAAAGGCTCATGTTATGTCCTGGGTTATGTCCTAGGAGCCAGTCAAGGCCACTCTTCTCAGAATGTGCATGATTGGGATACATCAAAATTGCTGAGTTAACCTTTTTACTACACAACTCTATGTTGACTCAAAGAGAAGTGCCATCTCAATTGGACTGGGTGGATAATTGGGACAAAGCTACAGTGATTTGTTTCCTTTTTAAATCTATGCATACAGACACATTATCCTTAATGAAAATGTCACTAATTATTTACTTATGGAACTAGTAAGGGTGGGATCTAGGGATGGGAGAACTGGGAGTGATTGTGTGGGGGAGGCTGCTGAGGCTGTTGCTGTTCAGTGAAATAGACATACCTTCCTCTGTTTCTCACCAACCATGTGATTTTGATTCAATTTGTGATGGTTTCAATTGCGTTCATTTCGTGTCGTGATTTATATTGAACTTATTTCTCATTTGTTATTGGATTGAATTTTTTTCTAAACACTTGTTTTAAAAGTATGAGAAGTAAATTAAAATAAAGCCTGTAGAAGGACTTCATTAACTGGAAAACACTAAATACTTTTCACCAAATGTGTTCCATAAAACACTAGTTTTCAAAAGTTAATGGTTTCATAACAAGGTTTTAAATCAACTGAGCTTGAAAAATCCTGGATTAAGGAAGTTAATTTTCTTTACTAAACAAGACTTCTTAGAGCCTTTCATAAAATAAAATCCTTTTTGATTGTTCAAGTGTTATCTAGACATCCTTAGTTGTAGAATTTTTTTTAAGTATCTAATGAGATAACTGGTGGAACACAGAATGAGAACTACTTTTAACCACACTGACTATTATTATTTTGGAGTCTTGAAGCCAAGTTTTTTCCTTTTGGAACATGCTCTCAAAATTATGCAGAGTGTTGACATTTTCTGGCCATAATCCATTATGTGGTATGATATAGAGCTGCCTCGGTTATGAGAGAGTGTCATATATTTTTAATTCACTGGAAAAAGTAATTAAAATAGTTAATGCTAAAACATTTCATTGTATTTTAGGTGTGTCTAAAATGGGAAAATTTGTTCAATTTTATAATTAATTGAAATATCCTAGTTTTACATATCCAACTATATATTTAAATATGGTAAGGGTGTTTGTTCAAGTAAGGGTGTTTAAGTGTTTGTGAAGATTCCTTGTTTATTACATGATTTTATCACACATGGAGAATAAATAATATATTCACTTTCATTTTAGTGAATTTCTGTTTATTTTGAAATAGGTCAATAGGGAAATGATTATAACGTCGCTTCTGAGGACCACATTTTTATGGCATAATAGCCTTCATGACCACTGCTATTTACTGCAGGATGAAGGCATTGCATTCATTACCAAGACTGGGGTCTCTTAATCTTTGTTTTCTGTAACAATAGAACCAGTAGCATCTAAAATCTGAAGTTATGGGGTGGGTGTTTGGCCCAGTGATTAAAATGCCTCTTGGGATGCCTACATGCTATATTCAAGTGGTAGATTTGAGTCCTAACTCCACTTTGGATCCAGCTACCTGACAGTGTGCGCCCTGGGAGACAAATGTGATGGCTCTTGTAGTTGGGTCCCTGCCACCCATGTTGGAGTACCATATTGAGTTTCTGGTTCCTGCTTTGGGTCTGATTCAACCTCAACTGTTGTGGATATTTGGGGAGTGAACCAGTGGATGGAACATCTCTCCCTCTTTTCTCTGGCTGTCTTTCTTTGTCTCTCTGTCCTTCAAATAAAATGAAAATGTAAAAAACAATTGAAGTTTGAAATTATCAATAGTACTATAATACATTGATCTAGAGAAAAATATAATAATAATTCATTTATAAAATAATATATGTATAATAAATAATTTCTATACTTATGCTGTCCTATGGCATTCCATTAGTTAAAGAAGAAGGAAGGAAGGACCTCTTATTTGAAATAGTTTATATGAATCTTCAAGGAAACAGATTATCTGAAGATGGCCACTTCAAGAAAGGAATAAAAACTTTATGCTGTTGTAGAATCCCCTTGTTTCAATTTTACCTGTTCATCACCCTAGTGATTTCTATTATCTACTTTTATTAGGAATTTTATATTCTTTTCTATTATCTCCATGTCTTTTTTCTTAGCTACTTTTTCCCCTGATGGTTGAGATAGGTGTTGCAATTTACATAGTGATTTTGGTGGTGGATTTCTATTTATTCTGTATTGGATAAATGTAAGCAATTCTCAAAATTGATTTCAGCCTTGCTATTGAATGAATGCTACTCCTTTTTCTTGCTTCTTCATGGGAGAAAATAGTGCTCTTAACTAAGGCAGTAAGCTTCAAGCATGAGAGCATGGGCTCTGAAGGCAGACTGCTTGAGTTTGAATAACAGTTTTGTTTATCAGCAAATTACTTAACCATTCTGTGTCAGCTTGGTTTTCTGTCAAATGGGGGTAATAGTAATACCGACTCCATAGAGTTAGTGTGAGTATTACGGATGTGTTAATGTATGCAAAATGCTTAGAATTGTACCTGGCATATAGTGAGTGTTCAGTAAATTTTGTTATTTTTCTCTAGAGCAATGTTATGTTTTATAGATACTTGGAAAGTGTAACCTTTGCTTGAAACTTAATTTGGGTTGGAGTACATTCTAAATAATATCAAATATATTTCTTTGAATATATCTTTCAGAAAATAAATAAATGCTTTTATTTAACATGAATATCTTCCATCTATAGAAAGAAGTACATCATATTCTGAACCCTTGTGTATATGGAATAAAGACTTCTGATTCATACTATGGTTCTGAAATCAGTTATATTACATATGCATGTTCAGCTAAGCAGTATTTTGGGTCAGTTTCGATTTTGTCTTGAAATTTTTCTAAATGTAGTTACAGAAGACAGGCTTTGCTATACTCTACTCTCTTAAACTCTTGCCTGATTCACTCACTTTAGGCTTCTGAGCCCATGCATGACTCCGGCTATTTGGAATGAATTTTTTGGAAAATCTATGTGCTTTAAATTTCATGCAGAGTCTGTGTATATTGAGAAGGACCTTAAACGATGGGTGACTTTTATGGAAGCCTTACTTGTTTTCAGTCATAAAGATCTTGAGATCCTTGATAAATCAGTGATACTGAAACTCAAAAGTATATGTGATATTCCTGCCACAGAAGTTAGTTTGGAGAAACTAATTCAGTCAACAGAATATAACTGCACCTAATAGTTTTGGCTATCTCAACATACAACAGAGGGAAAAGATTTAAAAATAACTTCCTTGTTAATACAACTGATAATCCAAAAATGATAGGTCTGCTTACCACTTAGTAAAAGCATAGGTGAAGAATGTTGAGCACATTTTTGGCTTTAGTACTGGAGCTCTTAAAGGATCTTAAATGTCTACAAATTCATAGGAGGTGTCTTCTTGTTTGACTTGTGAATTGTTTATCTGCCTATCACAGTTAACTTCTTTCAATAAGAATGATGCCCTCTGAGTAATGCCCCTGTTGTGAACTAAGAAGGACCCATGAATTATTAATAACCTGCAGGGTTGCAGAGCCCTTGTAGCAATGAGAGCAGTGTGCTCTGTACGACAATTCTGTTCACCTGATCTTGACAAATTAGGAGCATCTAAAACATACTCCTTCTTGTGAATACAAGAGGTGGGGGAAAGGTGACTTGGAAATGCATCAGTGTTTAGCCTTTTGTAGAATCTCACAAAGATAATAGGGAACAGTGTTTCTTCATAAATAACTGCCTCTGCTATCTTTGTGGTTTAGTGTGGTAGGCTAATGCCTTTCTGTCAAGCTAAGCTTTATGGTTCAATTTCCAATGTAGTCCTTGAGAAACAACTGGGAAAAAAAAGTAAAAACACAATTATAAAGATGCCTACTCCATAATCATTTAGTCCTGTTTATAGAACTTGATCCTCTTCAAGAGTATATTCTCCTATGTATTAAGCTGATAGGCAACAAGAGCAAATAAAACTCTTTACAAGAGTAGCAATTGTTTTATCAATAGCTGGGCTTATGTGGGAGTCTTGACAGGAGGATTAGGAATTTAGCCACATTGACATGTAAAATATGTAGTGCTGTGCTGCAGGAGGAGATGGGCTTTAAAACACAGCAAGTGTGTGTTCTCTTGCTAGTTACCAGTGTATAGTTACAGTGAAATTTGCTTTAGGAAGGATAAAGTCTGCTGTATATTTCCAAGGTAGTCGTCCAGTACTATTGATCTATTATTCACTTTTTCTAGTTATCTAATACATTGTTTCATTTTTATTGAGGTATATCATATAATGGTGAAATGTGCAAGTCTTAGTCAAAGTAAAAAAAATGGGGAAAACAAGAAAAAGCATCCAGATTAAGATACAAATATTTGTAAGTCATGAAGACTTCCTGATTCCAGTCAGTGCTTACCCTAAGTCACCACCATCTGACATCTATCAGCATGGATTAATTAAACCTGTTCTTGAACTTCATATGAAATCATACAATGTTTTCTTTTGTGTCTTTTTTCACTTGATAATGTATCTGTAAGGTTTATCTATACATTAAATAGTACCAGTTGTAATTTAGGCATTTATCATTTGTCTTGATTTTTAATTCTGGCTAGCTTTTAAGTAACATATTTCCTTGGTGTGAGGACAGTAATAATAGTAGATTCTCTGATACAAAGATATGTGTCCATTCTTCAAAAATCAGTAGAATCCCTGTCATAATTTTCAGATTCTAAATAAGTACCAAATAATAAGTATGATGTTAATGTTAGGGTCCCCAAAATGTTCCTTTTTTGTTCCAAGAGCAAAGAGCTCTCCATTGTATATTTTAACAAGATCTTGATAGTCATAGTTACTTGTTGCTGGAGGTCTTAAATTGCCATTCTTGCAGTCATGCTGAGAATCAAATTGCATTTGTGGGCTAGCACACCCTTGTTAAACCATCCCACTGGCATGATAATTAGAGATTCCTGCTAGTTTGGCCTGTATAAAAAAGTAGCACAGGTGGGAAAATTTACATACATGTCTTCCAATAACAAATTGTTATAGTTTCTCAGAAGGTCAATTTTTGTATTTCCTATAGCTTGTTCATAATCAACATGTGATTACTTTTCTATCACTTTTGGATGTATAACCTCTGCAATAAGATGACCACGTTAAGAAAAGGCTTTGTGGCTTATAAATATTAAATTATGTTTATGTGGCTTTATCTCATCTCTTTCTTATGCAGAAAAATGAGAAGGAAGCTATTTCCTCAGAAAAGATTCTTTTAATTTTCTCTTCCTTCTATTCTCAGAAGTATAGTTTTTTCCTTCTCCACATACCTTTTCAGTCTTCCTTCATTGTATCTTATTTTAAAATTTATTCATTTTTATTGTCTCATAATTTATGAATGTAAATTAGCTTGGTTAGGAGCCAGTGCCATGGTGCAGCGGGTTAATGCCGTGGCCTAAAGTGCTGGCATCCTATATGGGATCCGGTTTTAGTCCCAGCTGCTTCTCTTATAGCCCAGCTCTCTGCTATGGCCTGGGAAGGCAGTAGAAGATGGCCCAAGTCCTTAGGCCCCTGCACCCACGTGGGAGACCCGGAAGAAGCTCCTGGCTTCGGATTGGCGCAGCTTCGGCCGTTGCGGCCATCTAGGGAGTGAACCAGCGGATGGAAGACCTCTCTTTCTGTCTCTACCTCTTTCTGTAACTCTGTCTTTCAAATAAATAAAATACATCTTTAAAAAAGATTAGCTTGGTTGGGCAGATTCAGGAAACAATTCCCATGTGCAGACAAATGCTCAGTGCTTGTTTTCAGTACTGATCCATTGTCAGTTGCTGCTGTGGTTTGAGTAGTGTCCTTCTACCGCAGATTCGTTTCCCAAGGGTTAACAAGGAAGAACAAGAGTGTACTTGAAGACGGGGCCTTTGCAAGGGAATAGGGTTAAGATGAAGTCTTGAGGGTGGGGGCCTTCAAGATTGAGTTAGTGCTCTGGTAAGAGGAGGTGCTAGAGAGTCTTCTCTTTATCCCTTTAACCTGAGGATGCGGTGAGAAGGCAGCTGTCTGCAAGCTGGGAAGAGAGAGCCCTATCTGAACCCAATCATGCTGGTGCCTTGATGTGGGACTTCCAGCTCTCAGAACTGTGAGAAAATAAATTACTTTTGGTTAAGCCACCCAATTCTATGGTATTTTGTGATGGCAGCACCTGAGCTGAGTAATACAATTGCCATTCTTATTAAGAATGAAGTAGTTAGGCTATCCTGTTAATATAAATGATTGCTGGGGCCAGTGCTGTGAATCAGTGGGTTAACACCCTGGCTTGAAGCGCCGGCATCCCATATGGGTGCCGATTCTAGGCCTGGCTGCTCCACTACTGATCCAGCTCTCTGCTGTGGCATGGGAAACAGTCGAAGATGGCCCAAGTCCTTGGGCCCCTGCACTCACATGGGAGACCTGGAAAAGCTTCTGGATCCTGGCTTCAGATAGGCACAGCTCCAGCCGTTACAGCCAATTGGGGGAATGAACCAGCGGACAGAAGACCTCTCCTTCTCTGCCTCTCCTCTCTCTGTGTAACTCTGACTTTAAAATAAATAAATAAATCTTTTAAAAAAATGATTGCCAATAGTTATTTATGGTAATTATTTGTAGACTCCTTTTTGATATCCCAAAGAATTTATTTTGTAGTCTCCTGTAGAAAGGATCAAATTTCCAGCTTCCCCAAATGGCTTTTCTTACCTTGTCCTAGCCATCCCCCACAAACAAACAAATAAACAACTGGTCATTATGCCACCTAACTAGGTATTCAATTTGAATTCTTTGTCCTTCTTCAAGAACTGTATGATTACATTAAGTATCCAGAGCTTATAGTGCACCAGTCATGCTCAGAGCATCAAGGCAGTTACACACTGTGGGGCCTAACATTTTACTCTGTAAGAGAAAACTTTTACTCTCAAACAGAAAAATTATGCCACTATTTTTAGATTTTTTTTCTCAGTTACTTTTGGTTTATGTTGCTGTAGCCTAATTTATACTGTGGGTGAGAGGCCTGGGAAGAGGCCAACCTATTTAACAATCTGTGCCCTGTCCTTTCAACAGTTAGTATGCCTTTCATGTTTTTAATGTAAAATTAACAGTCATATATTTGCTTTTATGTGAAAAAAATTCCTAAATTCTTTTATAGTGTTGAAGAGATATCACAGTTCTTCCCAATGCTTAGATTTATGGACACTCGTTGAAAATATGTCAGATATCTCCAGGCAAAAATGTATCAGAAGAGTCTTCATGATGGTACTAAAGATGATAGCAAACCTACACGGGAGACCCAGGTGGAATTCCTGGCTCCTGGCTTTGGCTCAGCACCGCCCCAGCTGTTGTGGGCATTTGGAGAGTGAACCAGCACATGGGCATGCTCTCTGTTCCTCTACTTCTTTCCCTCTACCCCTCTCTTTCTGTCTTTAAAATAAATAAGTATTTTTAAAAAACTCAGATGATGGCAAATGTACATTGATTGTTCATGGTGCACATGCGTCTGTGCCACATTGTGATGTTCTCATTTAGTCATTACAGCAGCACTATGAAGTAGGCTCCTCATCCGCATCTTACGGATGACAGCATTAATGCTCAGAGGAAGCCGGTGATTTGCCCAAGCTCTAGGGCTGGTCAGTGATGAGGATGCTTTAAACCTGTGCAGGAGAATGTTTAGACCTACCAGCAGATATGATAGATATGATTTATATAATTCAAGTCCTCTTTATTTTACACAATAAATATGCTTATAAAAATACTATGCCTAAATTATATTTTGTTACATTTTTAAAGTCTTAAAAAGCTCAACTTTTAAAAAATCCATTTATTTGAAAGGGAGAGAGAGAGAGAGTGTGTGAGAGTGCCCATCTTCTGGTTCACTCTCCAAATACCTATAATAGCTAAGACCTGGCCAGGCCAAAATGAGCTGGCAACTCAATCCACATCCCTCACATGGGTGGCAGGAACCCAATTACTTGAGTGGTCACTCCATTACTTGGGCAGCTTCTCAAGATGAGCATTAGCTGAAAGCTGAGATGAACAGAGCCAGGACTGTAAGCCATACACTCTGATACAAGATAAGGGCATCCCAACCAACACCTTAACTGCCAGGTCATATTCCCACCCCATTGTTTGGTAAAATAAGTATTCCCTTATTTATATATTTGCTTTATTTGACATGTTCCTATTACTAGGTATATTTAAAGGAAGGCTAACCATTTTCTCTGGTTTTGTTTTGAATAATTTATCTTGTTAACGTTGATCACGGTTTGAATTGAATAACCTGCTTCTTGCGTCCTATCTGGGACTAAACCAACAACAATAACCCTCTGGGTTACACATTCTTCCTGACTTCATTTTATAGATGAAGCAGGAGAGGCTTAGAAAATGAACAGTATTGATAATCAGATCCTAGGCTTCTGACTGCAAATACTAAGCTTGCTTTTCTGAGTCTCCCTACATAGACACATTTCACAGGTCACTGCTCAGCTCGTGCTTTGTTAGGGTTATCCCCTGATAGTCACTGCTCTGGAATAAACACTCATCTCTAAGGAACAGTTAGTTGCCTTGAAAAGTAGACATGGTTTTCTAATTGTATAGAAAACTGTGGAGTATTCATACACTTTTAAATGTACCTTATGGCTTAATAGTTACAATGTATGCTGCCTCAATGTTCTTCTCAAGGATGGCAAACACTGGAAAAATAGGAAAAAAAGAATGTCTTCAATTTGCTTCAGCAAAGATAATCGATCTTTTGTAGTGTTTACATCACGTCAGTAAAATGTAGCCTTTTTTTTTTTTAATTTTTTGACAGGCAGAGTTAGACAGTGAGAGAGAGAGAGAGAGAGAAAGGTCTTCCCTCCATTGGTTCACTCCCCTAATTGCCACTACGGCCGGTGCTGTGCCGATCCGAAGTCTTTGCTGGTACCTATATCTTGCAGGGTTTCTCCAATGCTCTCTAATAGTTTGATGGTGTCAGGTAGTAGATTTAAGTCTTTAATCCATGTTGAGTGAATTTTTTGTGTAAGGTGAAAGGTAGGTGTCTTGCTTCATGATTCTGCATGTGGAAATCCAATTTTCCCAGCACCATTTATTGAATAGACTGTCCTTACTCCAGGGACTGGTTTTGGATCCTTGATCAAATATAAGTTGGCTGTAGATGTTTGGATTGATTTCTGGTGTTTCTATTCTGTTCCATTGGTCTATCCATCTGTTTCTGTACCAGTACCATGCTGTTTTGATAACAACTGCCCTGTAGTATGTCCTGAAATCTGGTATTGTGATGCCTCCGGCTTTGTTTTTGTTGTACAAGATTGCTTTAGCTATTCGAGGTCTCCTGTGTCTCCATATGAATTTCAGCATCATTTTTTCCAGATCTGAGAAGAAGGTCTTCAGTATCTTGATTGGTATTGCATTGAATGTATAAATTGCTTTTGGGAGAATGGACATTTTGATGATATTGATTCTTCCAATCCATGAACATGGAAGGTTTTTCCATTTTTTGGTATCCTCTTCTATTTCTTTCTTTAAGGTTTTGTAATTTTCATCATAGAGATCCTTAACGTCCTTGGTTAAGTTTATTCCAAGGTATTTGATTGTTTTTGTAGCTATTGTGAATGGAATTGATCTTAGAAGTTGTTCCTCAGCCATGGCATTGTCTGTGTATACAAAGGCTGTTGATTTTTGTGCATTGATTTTATATCCTGCTACTTTGCCAAACTCTTCTATGAGTTCCAATAGTCTCTTAGTAGAGTTCTTTGGGTCCCCTAAGTAAAGGATCATATCATCTGCAAAGAGGGATAGTTTGAGTTCTTCCTTCCCAATTTGTATCCCTTTAATTTCTTTTTCTTGCCTGATGGCTCTGGCTAAGACTTCCAGAACTATATTGAATAGCAGTGGCGAGAGTTGTCATCCCTGTCTGGTACCAGGGAAATGTTTCCAACTTTTCCCCATTCAATAGGATGTTGGCTGTGGGCTTTTCATAAATTGCTTTGATTGTATTGAGGAATGTTCCTTCCATACCCACTGTGCTTAGAGTTTTCATAGCTTAACCTGCTATGCTTAGTGCCTGCCACTATCCTTTTTTTAATAGAAAACTTTAAAAGAAAAAGTTTAAAAATATTATTTCCAAAATTCTTTTTGTTTCCTGTTTCTGCCTAAGGCAAGACAATACAAGTTTGTTTACTCTCTGGGAAGGCCACATGTTGGTGGAATTGCTCCATTTTAGGCTGAGTTTTAGTTTTTTCAAATTCATAATCCTTCAAGAGGTATGATTTCTATATAAATTTATTAGATAACAGATTTAACAACCCCAGGAGACTAGCTGAAGTTTCTGTTGATTTATAGTTAGTTAGCTAATGACCCATGAGCCAGTTATTTGTACGGCATATTCTGTTTTGTAGTAGCACAGGCTTCTTCCATAGACTTAGCTTGCTAGTTTAGCAGTGACTAACTAAAGAGATTTGTGTCTTATAGATTATCCTTCTCTCTGTAGGTTGCTTATCTTCTGAGAATGTGTGGCAATTATCTGGAGCAGCTATTTGCAGTAGAATCTTCTGAGGTAGTGAACATGCTCTCTGTCTCTGCTGATACTAGTCATATATGACTGTTGAGTACTTGGAATGTAGTGTGGCTTAGTACAAAATTTTTTATCTGATTTGATTTTAATTTTAATTTTAATAGACGCCTGTTGCTAGTGGCTACAGTTTTGTACAGCACAGACTTAGAATAAAATATAGGCTGTTCCTCTTTGCTAGTGGAGAAGCATATTCAGATTATCAACAGCAAAATGTCAACTCTTTTGCATTTTAAAATAATATGTGTTCATTAAATAACGTTTGTAAAATCTGACAGTAAAATAAAATTAAAAAATTATTGTAATCTCATTGCCCCAGTAAAATTATCATTGAAGTTTCTAATGATACTGGATTTCTTCAATCATTTTTATTCTATGAATCAGTTTTAATACAACTGTAAGTACTTTCTTCATTCAGTTCTGTATCTGAAAATTTTATTTCCTATTATAAGGTTATTTCATTCTGTTTGCAAATTTAATTTATTAGCTGCATTATGGTCCACCAAGAGAATGAAACACATCAAATGTTTCTAATCAGGCTCTGCTGCCCAGTCCTTGCGATGTTCTCATTGTTGCTGCTCCACCCAGCAATACTGTGTATACCTCTGAGGCTGGAACTGCTTCTGAATTTGGAGCTATTGTTTGAAAATCTCTGATAGATTTAGAGAAATGGAATTTAAGGCTGATAGAGAGAGATAACCATATTATTTTCCTAAAATGTTATCTTTATCAAACAAAATGTTTACTTTATCACACCTAATACCAACCCTGGGCATCCAACACAGCATTATGTTTTTGTTAATTTCTGTTATAATAATTTTATTTCATGATGGCATTTTCCTCTTGAATCTACTTTAACAACTAAAAGGGTTTAAAGTCTTACAGAAGATTTTGTCATTGGTAAATTTCTGGGTTTTGCTGATATTTTACTTTTCCTCCAGTATTCTTTTTTTTTTAATTGTTTTTTGTCTGTTTTTCAAGAATTAAAGGAAATAAGAAAGTACATGTGTTCTTTTGTGCTATTAAGCAGAGAGGAATCTTCCTAGCTATTTTTAGAATGTTTCAAAAGTATATATGAGGTTGAGAGGCCAAATGTGAGATTTCCTATATTTTGTCTACTCTTTGCGATAATTTTGTATTGTATTTCTTTTTCTCTTATGTTTTTGAATATTACCTACTCTAAAGTGAGGCTTGAATCTAATCATGCTGTGTTCAGTATTTCTTACTTTGTGGCTGCTGTGAAAACAATGAGACAGTTCAGAAAACAAGTTACATTAAACATCTCCTGTTGTGCACTGTTAAAAAATTATTCTGGACGCAGTGGTCAGAAAATGATTCACTAAATATTGCTTTAAACAAAACCTAGATGTAAAGTTGAATTTATGAGAAGACTAGGGAGTGATTATTTACTCTATAAAAGTGAATTTATGTTTTAGTTGTCAAAAGTTGATTTATAAACCTTTATAATCTTATCTTTTGCATTAAGTGAATTTATTGAAATGAGCATTTTACGGAATGCCTTAGGACTAGAAACAGAAATGGTACCTCGAAAATATAAGCTACTATTGCTCTCTCATTAATTTGCCAAGGCCACTGTACTGAGATTACCTTGTAGTGGGAATTAAATTTTGCATTTGCTACCTAGCTTTAGATTCAGATGTCAATAATCTTGATACTATAACATGTATATGTTTATATAGCTAATATTATTTGAGAAAGAAAATAAAAAGCTAGTTTTATGCTTTTAATAGTTTTAGGAAAATAGAAAATGTTTTAATGTTTAGTAAATAAGGTAAGAATAAAGAAAGGAACCAAACCCTTGATAGTAGTGATATTTCCGTGGTGGCATTGTAAAGAAAGTACTCTCGATTGATGAGCAAGGACTTTATGGAAGGGGAGGATTTAAAACGTGGATTCTCAGACTGCTGTTCCATGGCTCTGACCTCACTGGCATGTTCCTGCTCAGTACCTTCATGTTTTGGGCTTCATGGGTTAAAGGCAAAAGAAAGAGTAGAAGCCAGGAACATAACTTCCACACCACAGTGTTCACGTGCCTGATCTTGACAGTGAAGCCAAGTATTTATCCTTTGGGAAAGGACAATAGTACCAAAGGGATTTCAGGCAGCATTTTCTAAAACCGTTCCCCAGAATAGTGGAAACACTGATACTGCAGTTTCATTAACATACATGACAGATTTATAGAAAAAAGCCCCTTTAAAAATAAATCACCAGAGTCGGCATCATGACACATCCAGTTAATTCGCTGCCTGTGATGCCAGCATCCCATGTTGAGTGCCAGTCGAGTCTGACTGCTCTGCTTATGATCCAGTGCCTGGAAAAGCAATGGGAGATGGCCCAAATCCTTTGTGCCCTTGCCACCCATGTGGGAGTCCCAGTTGGAGTTCCGCGTTCCTGGCTTCTGCCTGCACTAAACTGGCTGTTGCAGCCATATGGAGAGAGAACCAGTGTATGTAAGATTGATCAATCTCTCTCTAACTCTAAGACTAACTCTGCTTTTCAAATACATAAATAAATCTTAAAAAAAATGGTCTTAATATAAACCTTAAAACTGTAGTATAACTTTTAGATGAGCACATAGGCACAGATTTCCCAGTTACAACACCAAGAGCACAATCCATAAAAGAAAAATGTTAATAAACTGGATTTTATCAACATTAGAAACTAGTGCTATTAAAAACATTATTAACCGGCACCGCGGCTCACTAGGCTAATCTTCCGCCTGCGGCACCAGCACCCTGGGTTCTAGTCCCAGTTGGGGTGTCAGATTCTGTCCTGGTTGCTCCTCTTCCAGTCCAGCTCTCTGCTGTGGCCTGGGAGGGCAGTGGAGGATGGCCCAAGTGCTTGGGCCCTGCACCTGCATGGGAGACCAGGAGGAAGCACCTGGCTCCTGGCTTTGGATCGGCACAGCACACCAGCTGTAGTAGCCATTTGGGGGTGAACCAACGGAAGGAAGACCTTTCTCTCTGTCCCTCTCTTTCTCTCTCACTGGCTAACTCTGCCTGTCCAAAAAAAAAAAAAAAAAAAAAAAAAACCACACACACATTATTAAGAGGGTGTAAAGACAAGACCAGGAGCAACATATTTGCAGATTACATATCTGATAAAAGGAGTTATATTTAAAATATGTAAAGGAATCTCAAAACTCAATAAATACTACAACTACACAATAAAACATAGGCAAATGATTTGAACAAATACTTCACCAAAGATATCTTATAGATGGCAAATAAGCACATGAAAAAAGGTGCTCGACATTATTAGGAAATTTAAATAGAAGCCATTATGAAATGTCATTATGTACCTGTTAGAATGTTTAAAAGCAAAAACAATGGTCATGCCCATTGTTGGTACAAAATTTTATATATCACATATAAGAATGGAACATGAAAAATTTACTTTGGAAAAGACAAATATTTTAATAACATAAAGAGGACAGATTTCATATGGGAAAAGACAGTTTGATAGTTTGAAATCCTATCATTTCACTCAAATATTTCCCCCAAAGAAATGAAAGCCATGTCCATAGAAAGACTCATACCCAGATTTTCATGGCAGCTCTATTTGTGATTTGCAAAAACTGACAATACCTCAGGTGCCTTCCAATGGGAGGGTGGCTTAACAAACCTATGTGTGTCCATACTAGTTGATGATGGAAAGAAATGGACTACTGACACACGCACCAACAACATAAATGATCTCTGACTCCATTACATGCAAGAAAAGAAACCAGACAAAAAAGAGGGTATTTGTATAAATTGAGAAAAGGTAAACTAATCTATAGTTTATATGACTGAGTGGAGGGCAGGAGGGAATCTGGAGGAGGCAAGAGAGAGATGCTTCTGTCGCTTGATTGTAGTAATGGTTCCATTTCCATGGGAGGCCATGGTATATGGCCAGATAGTACATGTTAAATGTGCACAGCTTTTTCAGTGCCAATTTTTTCACCTAAGTAATCCCCTTTTCAAAGAAAATGTGCCAGCTGGCACACCCCCTGAATGGGCATGGGTGCAAATTTGGGTTGCTTGGCCATTGCATTTTACACCTGATGTGAGTCTGAGGATGGGCGCCTCTGACAGAGTTCTGTATGACCTACTGAGCAGTGGTTGGCAAATATTTTCTCTTTCTCCCTGTTACAAAAAGATACAAGAGTACACCAAGTCCACCATTTCAAAAGCCCTTGTTTCAGATACCAAATATATTTTTGTTTTCATTCATGGATATGGAGCCTGGAAAGCCGAAGTAACTGAGTGTCTGGCACTGAACCTTTCAGAGCTAAGGACAACTTCACTCCTCAGGTGCACAGGAGAGTCTCCCGTCTCTGACTCAGTTCTCAGTGCCCTATCCCCACAGCCTTTCTTTCCAGCCATCCTACCACTAATCTCTGACTGTGCCTGGCTTTCTTTTGGAGACATGGCTGACACTGATGCCCCCGCACCTGGCTGCTTTCAATCTGCTTTTCTCTTTTTATGCCTGAGATCAGATCATGGAGTCATGAGGGCTTAGAAGGCACTGGTGGGGCATTGGTTAGCAGAGTTGTTAACATGCATCTCAGTAAATACTGAATTTATTAAATAAATAAGTACAGCCTAGAAGAACTGAGTGTTATCTTTGGCATGCAGTCAAAATTAGAATAGCATATCACGGCCGGTGCCGCGGCTCACTAGGCTAATCCTCTGCCTTGCGGCGCCGGCACACCGGGTTCTAGTTCCGGTCGGGGCGCCGGATTCTGTCCCGGTTGCCCCTCTTCCAGGCCAGCTCTCTGCTGTGGCCAGGGAGTGCAGTGGAGGATGGCCCAAGTGCTTGGGTCCTGCACCCCATGGGAGACCAGGATAAGCACCTGGCTCCTGCCTTCGGATCAGCGCGGTGTGCCGTCCGCAGTGTGCCAGCCGCGGCGGCCATTGGAGGGTGAACCAACGGCAAAGGAAGACCTTTCTCTCTGTCTGTCTCTCTCTCTGTCCACTCTG